TCGCTGCTCTAAACAAAGACTAACAGAGAAACAAGGTTTTCTGGTCTTTACAGGTTAGTGTCTCTATCTATTCATATTACAGAGAGTGAAACAGAAATGATACATCTGCGTTTTAAATACAGCTTATTCATAATGCTACTTCATTTCATACACACAATAATAGCACTGGTAGGGATATGCAGTACAACACATTCATATTAAAACAACAGAGTAGTTTTTATGTGTTTAGACGTTCAGAGAAGTTCCTGATTGTGAGTTCAAATCAAGTGCAAGTTCCTTCAGTGAACGTGTTTCTGTGGTTTGGTGTTGCATCATGGGACAGAACCAATGGTAAAAACAAAAATAACGACAGAAGAAGAAACAGATTCACTTTAAGAATCACGGGGCGAGTTCCCGAGATGCAAATTTGACCAGTTGCACTTTGTGAGTTTTCAAAAAGGCTGTCGGAGAATCTGTAGAGTTCTGTAAATGTAAACACGGACAGCTCTCTGATGCTGGACTCACACGTATGACCCTGGTTTGTATTAGCGTGATTTGATTGGCTCTTACCACAAATAACGTTATGTGACAGAAATCAATGCAGCTCTGCAGAAAACAACTGTTTCTGTTGAAGCCTCCAACTCATGCGTGTGAGTCCTGCGTCACAGACGCACGTTATATATGTTGAAGCTACGGAGATACAAATGATTAGAAAACAAAGACACAAAGATTATTTTCTCTCCTGTTCTTCCGATGGTTGCAGGCGTGACGTTATCTAATCTTAAAACCAAGTCTGCGTGAGCTCAATACGAGTAGTTCTGCTCCACAACCGCAACAAAGACTAAATTAACGACACATTTCGGTCTCGGAAGTCAAACTGGACTCACTGACTTTATATTTTAATAAGTTAAAATGTATTTACAGACTAAAGATGCAGAGAATATTTAATAGCTGAAGGAGACTTTGTTTAATTGACTAAAATACCAATGTTTCGGTGGAACGATGTTGCACCTGAAGTGTTGAACAACGTGGAAAAGGTTTCAGAGACTGAATCTTCTTCCTGATGTGACCTTGATGCATAAATAACTTCAAAAGTGTTTCAGAAGCAGACTGAAGAGGAAATGCTCCAAACTACCAACGTAAACCTCGTCTTCATCTCCTGAGTCAGAGCATCTGAAACATATTTACAGAGTTTTCCACAAAAAAGCTTATTTTGTTCAGTATTCAAAAATATGAATGTACAGATATAAGTTAAGATGTTGATGTGGTGTTTCCTCTTTTATTGCCTTTGAGTAAGAGGTTGTTTCTGCTACAACCTCCCACCACGAGAAACCTCATGTACCCGTCACACAACCTGGGAAGTTGTGTTGTTTTGTGTGTTTTTTGCGTCAACAGCATCTTTGCACTCGACCCTTGGTGCATCACAGGTGTGTCTGCAGGCGGCACGTGCACAGATGTGGAGGAGTGTGAGGTGCGTGTGTGTTGATTCTGTTTCAGGTATCAGTCGTGTAGTTGTGTGAGTAGTTGTGGACTTATTGTTAGCGTTATTATATGTGAGCGTGCAGTTTCTTTGCTCGACGTGCATCCATGAAATCTTGTTTATCGTCTGCTGGCACCATGTCGCCACAGGTAATTCACACTGTTCGTCTCCATGGAGACGACAGGGGGCGTGAACTGCAGCATCAGAAACGTCACCATGGTTTTGCCTCCTTTATCGTGTTCGGAGAATTTTCCCAGAATCAGGTTGGAGGTAAAATTTCCTCTTGACTGAGTTCTCTCTTTATTTTTTGAAAAGTCTCGTCAGTCTAAAGTGTGTGGTTGTGCGTGAAGTGCACGTGCAGCCCGTTCACTGGATGCACGATCGGCACCGTCTGCATCTTTGGAAAGTTCTCTGTGGCCAGAGTCCATCTGCAGGTTCCGATCAGCTCCACAGTGAGAGTCTTTAGGATGATCTGTGCCAGTTCTTTCCCCACACAGCTCCGCACGCCGCCGCCAAACGGCACATAGCTGAACCGAGCCGACCTGCTGTCCTCCCGCTTGGGACCAAACCGATCCGGGTCGAACAGCTCCGGACTCTGGAAGATGGCTGCGGTCTCGTGGGTGTCGCGGATACTGTACATCACACTCCAGCCTTTAGGGATCTGGTAGCCCTGTGAAACAAGAACATGTTAAATCTGTTCAAATCTCCTCCATGACAAGTTTGGTCAAAAGTGATTTAACCAGATGAAGGAATGTGTCAAAGGGTTGACATAAGTGAAAATGATTTGTTTTTGATTTGTTTTGTTTTTAATCTTTATTCATTCAACAAGTTTAATGTCATTTTAAAAAACTCCGTCTGAGCCACTGTATTCGTAGTTTTCTGCAAACTTCAAATCATCTTTAACATGTTGAGATAAACTTGTCTTGTAATGATCATCAGGCTCCACAAGGAGGAGCTGTGCAGTTATGAGCAGACCACGTAAACCCACAGGAGAGTTAGCGTAGCTGCGTCAGAGAACGCTCAGTTGTAAAAATGTTGAAGTCGCCCCCTGCAAGCAAATACAGTAAAAGCGGCTGCATTAAAACTGGCACCAGCTTCAGGCAGTGACAGGAAGTTGCACCGTTTGGTTTCGGGTTCTTCGTGTTGTTTATCCAAACAAATCACTCAGTGTGAAATCTTTGTCGATCAGTGTCTGTGAGTTGAACTTACGTCTAACTCGAACGTCTGCAGGGCCGTCCGGTAACCACCGGACACCGGCGGCAGGAAGCGCAGCACCTCCTTGACGACACAGTCGACATATCGCAGCTGGCTCAGCTTGTCCAGGCTCAGATACGGTATGTGAGACTGTGGGAAACCCTCCTGGTCGCTGTGGTTCTGACACACTTGGTTCAGCAGGCAGGTCGTCTCTGTGACGCCGGTGTCGGTGTCTTTCTCCGTCGTGGCGCCAGAGGAGCCGAGACCGCTGTGGGGTTCGTAGCCTAAGCCCTCAGCCTCCAGCTCGATTCTGGCCCTCTCCACCACCGCAGGGTGACGAAGCAGCTGCAGAATGAGAGACGTGGAGGCGCTGGCTGTGGTGGAGTGAGCGGCGAAGATCAACTCTACTGCTGTTTCCTGCAAGAGAGGGAATCGGAAAATGATTTTATCTCATTCCACTGATTTGAATTAATTCAGTTCCAGGTCAATCTTTCAAAACGGGGCCAAATTTCTCTGAGCGTGAGGTTGTTTAGAAACATCGGCCTGATTTTCACCGACAACGTTGGAAACAAAAGTTCAAACAATAAACTGGTTGAAGGAGTCTGAACTTTCAGCATCACAACTTTCAGGCTCCATTTGTGCTGCTTCGCTCCGTTACCTTCAGCTCCTGGATGCTGAGCTGCTGTCCGTGCTCTTTGGCGCTGGACAACATGTAGTCGAAGGCGTCATGATACTCGTCCTCCGCCTGCTGCCGCTCCATTTTCTCCTCGATGATTTTCTCCATGTTGGCGTGCAGGATTTCTCTGGCTTTGATTCCCTGGAAAGAGACGCATCATTAAAAATGTGTTGTAAAGAAAAAAGGATGAAACTCTCATGGTGGTTTGTTTCCAGGCAGCAACCAAATTAGATCCACATTATCTTGTACTTTGTCTCTTAGAAGCTGATTCTTTCTCGGCCGCCCTCAAAGAATCACGTCTGAACATGAGCTTGAGTTTCATCAGCTTCTGTGCATCGTCCTCACAGGGTCTCACCTTGCGGAGGCCGCTGAGTGGAGCGTCTATAGGGAGCGAGAACAGGTTGTTCATCAGCTGCTCAAAGATGCGAGCCAGGTAAACGATCCGCTCCTCCTCCATCTGCAGACCCAGCAGGACCCGGACGGCGATACGGAACGTCAAGGACTTGGCGGCGCTGTAAACGTCGATGGACCCTGGCGCCGAGCACCACTTGGCGATTTCAGACTTGACGACGTCCTGCAGCCGGGGCAGGAAGGACTCCAGGGCCCCTCGGCTAAACACTTTAGCCAGGATCTTGAAAGGGTTAAAGAAACAAAGAGAGGAGTCGTAAAAGGTTATTACCTGGTACACGACAGTCAACACCTTTGAGTGAATGCTGACTGAGGAGGAGCACGGCGGGGAGGAAGAAGGATGTAGGAGATAAGATGAGACGGAAGAGGACACAACAGGACGTCAGAGGAAGACAATATGAAGACATTAGATATGTTGGGATGAGTTGGAAGAAGAATATGAGCATTTAAAGGTTTTTTTTAACACATGCACACGTTGACTACTATTGTGACGAGTCCACAATTTATCCAAAAGTTCACTAAAGTCAGAGTTTTTATCTTTTCTTCATCATCCTCTGATTTTAATGTCCCAGCTCTTAAACGTTCCAGTTGTCATTCACACACACGCCTCCAGAAATGTCATCTTCTTACTTTTCTCTTCTTCTTGTGCAGGTCCCCGATGGAGTTGACCAGCGTGTTGGGCCCCAGGATGATGCGGGTGCTCTGGGGCCACTGGGTGCACACCAGGCTGTGCTCGCCCAGCAGGATCTTGCGGATGTTTTCAGCACCCGTGACCCTGATGACAGGCTTCCCGAGCAGGTGGGTCTTGAACACGTTGCCGTGGCGTTCTCTGCGGGAGATGTGGAAGTTGGAGCCCTGGAGAGCAGAGAAGTTGATTATAAGAGTTTGACACATTTACAAACACAAGTCGGTCAAATCACAGGATTTGTGAAACTTTTGAATTTGTATTTGTGTGAACTGGTGGTTAGATAGAATTTTGCATTGGTTTGTGAAAAATAAACCAAATAACATGAGCAGGAATGTGCAGCATTAGGTCGCAGTGACTTCTGGGAGATATCCAGACCTGCAGGCTGTTGATAGAATCACAGCCAGCACCCTGGGGTGATGTCCACATACTTTTGACCAACTTGGAGCTAGTTCCCTGCTCAGTTCGCGGTTAGAGCGTTAAAAGATGAGACGCGATGAGGAGGGATGAAGAGATGAGAACATTCCAGACAGAGAGGAGGAGGAGGAGAGAGAGAGAGAGAGAGAGAGAGAGAGAGAGAGAGAGAGGATGAACAGAAAACTTCTGTTCGTGAACATCAAGTCCGCACATGTCGCATCAGCCGCAAAGACTCGGTGAGAAGAAGCTGCAGCTTTTAACAGCTGCTACACGTCATCAATAATCAATAATCATCATCCACGTCATCAATCAGCTGTTCATTAAAACACACACACACACACACACACACACACACACACACACACACGACGCGCTGGACTCTGGAACACTTGTGGAGAAAAGGTGCAGCGACCCAGAGGTGTCGTGTCTCACCTGGAACAGCCAGTGGAAGGTCTCCCCGACCAGCGGCCAGCCCATGGAGCCCCTCGGCAGCGGCAGGCTGCTCTCTTTGTCCCGGGTCAGGCTCCAGCGGAGGCTCCACAGCTGCCGGGTGAGCGCCAGCAGCAGGAGCGCGGACAGCACCGAGGTGAGCGCAGCGCCGAGGGCCCACAGAGCCCCGAACTGAGCCTGCAGGACGAACATCTCTGAGCCGGTCCACTTCCCAGCATCCACCTGTGTCTGGAGCCCGCGTAACGGCGCCTGTGTCCCGTGTGGAAGTGTCCGGCGGCCGTGCGTAAAGTTGCTCCTGAGTGTTCCTGCTCCTCCGGCTCCTTATTCTCCGTCTTTCCTCCTGTAAACTGTCCTGATGAGATAGATGTTGGTCAGCTCACCTTCAGCTGCAGCACAAATAAAAACTGATGAAGATCAAGACTGAACCGTTACCGTCTGATTTACAGGCCGGACCGAGAGTGGCTCATTATTAATATAAATATTATATAGTTACACATAAATATCGAGTTTATTCTCACGTCAGGACCAACACCACGTTTTATAGTTTATATTTCAGTTACTGCAGAATAATGTGCGGGTACATTAACATCATTCTTAAAGACTTTTCTCAGACAGACGCGCCTCATTAGACGGACACACACACACACACACACACACACACACACACACACACA